AAAGAATTATAAATTAAATATATGAATTTTTAATTTATAATTAATAGAGACATTTTATAATTGATTTTAAAAGTTTGACCAGACATCGTCCCCAGCGGAGTCGCCAAGCTGTCGTAACCGGTTTTCGTCCGGGCACGAATTTTTTACTTGGCAGGAAAAGTGATATGAATAAATGGTTTTTAAAATAAAATAATTTGGGAGTCGCCATCAGCCTTTTAGGTCAGGTAGGTCGAATACCTAAAAATTTTCTTTTAAAAGAGTTTTAAGAAAACATCAGTTAAAAGATGAACTGATCTGCGTTTATAACCAAAAATTCGTTCTTTTTAATAAAAAAGGGATTCGTGGTCGGTTACGTTTAGGGAAGGATTAGCACCCCTACAACGCCCAAAATTGGTACTTTTTAATTATAAATTGTCTCTAATAATTAAAAAAAATCAAAATATATTTAATTTATAATCCTATTATTTTAAGATTATAACTATGAAAAATATACACTAATTTATATATATATATATTTATAAAAATATGTTTTATTTAGAAATATCAGAAAAGAACTTCTAGGTGCCTTAAGACAGCTATTTTCTTTGATATTAATAAATAAAAATAAATATTAAAATTTTAATAATTTTAATAAAACTAAATTATAATTTTTATAATGTTTAATTATTTAAAATACCAGAATAGAACATCCAGTTGTTTTAAGACTATCCTTTTCTTTGATATTGAAAATAAATAAACATTATTATTTAAAAGAATATAGGTATATATTTATATGAATAAAATAATTATGAAAATAATGATTTAAATATATAGAATTAAAATATAAATAAACAATGAGTAAAATAAATAAAATTAAAATTAAATATAAAAAGTAATAAAACTTATAATTAAAATTAGTGACTAAATTATGACATATCAAGATTAAATGTTCTAGTTTAAAATATTATGAAAACTAGGTGTTACTAATGTAATTAATCCTTAATTAATTAATTAGTGATTAAAATATAAAATATTATAATCTGAGGGACTAAATATAATATTTACCCTAAACATATAAATATACTGGCCAGGACTAAAATAAAAATAAAATAAGATTCGAATAAAAATTTAAAATGTCCAGAAAATCATTCCAGTGACTAAAACGTAAAAGTTACAAACTCAGATGGCTTAGTAAATGATTTTACCATGCGCGAAATTACACATACACCCTCATCGAAACGACGTCGTTTTGATGAGGGCATAAAAACCCTATAACCGGCCCTTAAGGGCCAAAGCTTTTCATTTTATTTCTTTTCTTTCTCTCTTAGGAGAGAATTCCTCCCCCTTCTCTCTAAAATCATCCACCGGGGGAGAGAACCGGCCGCCTCGCTCCGGCGATAACCGCCGCCGCCGGCCACAACGGTGGCCGGAAAACTCAAAATACACCAAAATGTAGATCTTCACTTCCTAAGGCCGAATACGACCTCTATTTATCTTAAAAGCCCTTAGAATTTCCTATATCTAGGATTTTACCTTCGAATTTCGAAGGTTTCCGGCGACGTTTCGAAAGCCTCCAATGACAGAGTAAGCTCTCTCTTCTTTTCTTCTCTTTCTGTTATATTGGCTGCTATGGGTTCGTGTTCTTGTTGTTGTCTATTATTGGTGGTTCCTCCTTTTTTCTGTGTTTGGTTTTTTTTTCTGTTTTTCTCGGTATCCCTCAGTCGCTCCTCGTTTGCAGGTTTGGGTGGTGGCTTTTATAGCCACCACAGTGTTCGGCTCGGACCAGACCAAAGGGGGAAGCTTTGGTGAGTCACCAAACTATTATGGTGACTCACCCCTAGAGCAGTGACGTGTGTGGCTTCGTGGCGGTTCTGGAGACTTCGACGATGGTGGTGCCGTGTTGAGGCACCAACGTGGAGGGGTTGCTGTGTGGTAGCTGAGGAGTCTGGAAGCTTGGAGCGGCGGCGTGATCCCTAGGGTTATCATAACCCTAGGGTTCTGGTTGGGGATCTATGGACCGTTGGATCTTGCTAGATCCAACGGAGCAAGGTGGCTTGAGAAGAAGATTGAACCCTAATCTATTTAGGGTTTCCAAACTTGGGCTGGTTCAGTTGGGCTTCTCTGATTTGGGTTTGGCTTCTTGTAATTGGGCCTTGTGATTTAATATTTTGGCCTGTAAAATAAATAAAATTATTTAATACTAATAATAAAATAATTATAATTATAATTATTATAATAAAAATAATAGAACCGGGATAAAAATTTAGTGTCTTCAATATCTATTAAAAATGAAAGAGAAAAAATGATGTTAACAGGTTGAATATGATCATTTTTATATTAATTAAAAGAGTAAATTATAAATTTAATAACTAAACTTCAATATAATTTTTATTTTATTCAATACACTTTTAAAACTTTTAATTTACTCATTTAATTTTATAGATTGAATTTTTTAATCAATTTCCGTTAAATTTCTCACACAGTTACGACGGTACTCACTTAAATTATTTTTAATCATTAAATTTCCTATATAAAAAAGAAAATAATTAAAAAATAAAGTAAAAGACAAATGTTTGACTTGAGACATTCAGTTCAGCTGAAGAACGCAGATACAAAGTTCTGTTTCCAATCCTTAAACCCCAGGCTCCACCGATCACTCTCAGTATCCCAACCTCAAAATCTCACTGACCACCCAAACCCCACCTGCCTTACCCTTCGTCTTCTTCACTGTCATGTGACTTGCTTTGGCTAGGATGGAAATGGGAAAACGAAGAACATTGGTTTCAACAAGTTTTACGATGAGTATTAGGTGAGCAGAAATGAAAGGCTGAAGTGGAGAGGTAAAACCGGGACAGAGGCGAACAGTGGGCACCATCTTGGACTTGAAGTAATCATTGAATCTTCAAAGAAAATACAATTGAAGAAGCTCAAGAGCTTGAGGAAATCGAAAGCATGAGCCAGACCAAGCTGTGTCTGCGATTGCCGATTGGCTACAAACAAAACTACGGCTATAAGAGCTGGTATAAGGGTCTGAAAATTGGATTTAAATTAGCCTTTTTAAAAAAAAAATCGATCTCCATTTAATTTCTTTCATGAGTTTTATGTTTCATCAAGCTCAGTTGTGAATGATGATGATGTTACTAACATGATGGAGGCGTTAACAGTGGTTTTGAATCGTGTTTGTTCTCTCTCTAAAATCCAGAAATGAGAATATCAAAACAGATTATATCTTAAATGAGCTCAAACTTGTTCCAGAAAATCTTATCCAGAATAATTACCATTCCCTTGTAAACCCACTCCCTGAAGAGCATAAGCGACATGACTAAGCAAATGTAGACACCGAATTGCAGCAAAGGGACAATCAGCAATGCGCGCGAGAGATTCAGATGAAACGAGAGAGAGAGAGGATGTTTATGAAATGAGATTGGGTTCTATTTGGATTTTTAATTTCAAAATATTTTTCGTATTAAATATTAAATATGCCACGTCATAACACTGTTATGAAATTAATAATCGAGTAATAAAAATAATTAATTTATTAAATTGAGTGTGAACTGAAAAAAAATTAAAAGTATAATGAGTAAAATAAGAATTATAAAAATTTTAGATACTAAATTTGTAATTTACCCTAATTAAGAAAAAGATTGAAACTAATAGATTTCTATATTCAGTTCACACATCACTCACCAAGGAAAAGACCAAATTGTGACCTCATACGTTGACCACCGCATGATTTCCACCCTCATCAGCGGCTTTAATTCCATTTGTCAATCATCCCATGTATAATAGTTTCGGTGAAACTATGGTTTTAGTCCCTCTTCTATATTACAATTTTATATTTGAGTTTCATCATAGGTAATTTTTTTGCATAAACTTTTAAATTTAAATGTTTTATTTATATTTATTTTTAAATTAAATACAAATATATTCATGAATTACATTTTATAATAATTAATATTGATTATTATATTGGGTAAACTATATTGGCAGTCATTTATTTTTTAAGACATTCTCACTTTAGTCATTAAACTTTTACAGCTTGTATTACAATCACTAAACTTTTAATTCGATTTCATTACTATCACCGTGGTTAAGAAATGTTGACGTGAAACAATAACGTATTCTTCACCTAAAAATCTCTTAATTTTTCATATTGGTGATCTTCACAAAGGTCGATTTTATGATGAATAGAGCAATCATCGATCAATCTCAACAGTGGAAATGTTTCATTTGGTTAGAAGATTAATGAAGTTTGACTTCGAGTTGATCAAGCGATTGATAGTGATAGATAAAAAAAAAGTTGTAGCTTTTAATTTCAATTGAGATTTGAGGAGAAATTTGAACTAAAAGGAGAAAAGAAAAGAAAAAAATAATTTAGTGATTTTTTCCGACAAGAGAAATCACCAAATGGTGGTAGAAACGACGATGAAGGAGATAACAATCCAATAGAAATTAAAACTTAAAATTTATTGATTTGTCCTGTAAATTATAGTATCAATTTGAAATCAAACTATGTTAATCTTCTTACCAGACAAAGCCTTTCTGTCGTTGAGATTGATTATCGACCGTTCCATTCATCGAAAAATTCAATTCATCAAAAAATAGACTTTTGGGATGGTTTCCAATTTAAAAAATTAATATTTTTTATGAAGAAGAATTTAACATATCACATTAGTATTTTTTAATGACAACTAACGCCAACGATCATAATAAATGAGAAATAAAAGTTAAATGACTGTGATATATTTTTTGAAAGTTTATTGACTAAAGTAAAGATTTTCTAAAAGTTCAGTGACTGTCAATGTTGTTCTCCCTATAATCTTTTACGTCTCCATTATGAGAAACGCAGTACCTTGTATGTTTTGTACACTTGTACTAGGAAGGATCGTAAGCCACTTTGTAACCAAACATCAATGATCAAACACTTTATCTCATCCCCCTCTCTCTCAATTTCTCTGCTAAATCTTCAAATCTTCTTCTTCCATAGTTTTCCTATTTTACATTAAATAACATTTCTTCCCCTTTTGTTTTTAGTTTGCTTTTGCACCCATCCTTTCCCAATGTTTTTCTTCTTCTTTCTCCTTTCTTTCATATTCTTATTCTTTTCTTTCCACTACAATGAACACCATAACCAACAACAACAGGTACAAGAGGAGGGAAAACCCCATAATGAATCGACCCTTTTGAACGATACAGAGCCACAAACCCGGGAAAACGACTCCACCCATTTGCCCCATTCGCTTCTCCTTGAGATCATGCCTCCCGATTCTGCGAAATGGGCTAGCTTGTTTACGGGTGAAAACCAACAGAAAGGGGATGTCGGTCGGTTCGGGTTGGGTCGAGTGGGGAGCAGTGTGAACCGGGTGGTGACTGGTGAGGATCAGAGGACGAAGAAGAAGAAGAAGAAAAGAGGGAAGAAGAAGAGATTGAATTCCAAAAGCCAAGAAGAAAATGGTGAAGAAAGGTGTAGCTTTTCGGAGGACGATAAGAAGAAAAGGAAAGAATCGGGTCTTGTTTGCTTGTACCCATTTACATCAACGGGTAGTGCAACGCAGAGAAAGATCAAGCAACAGTATGATCAGCTTGTTAAGTGCCATGAAGACAAAGGATTAACATTGATTCAGGTTGCTTCTTTTTTCATTTTTCTTTTATCTGTTGATTTAGTTGGCAAGTGATGATAAAAGGTTAATTTTGTGTAGTTTTTATTAGTTTTAGTTTTCAAGACCTCTTTTTTTTTTTTTTTAATGTAGCTTAAATATATGGCTTATCTTTAAGTGCGTTTTTACTTCTTTAACTCATTTTTAGGCAATCTGGGGAATAATTTGGTCAAGTCTTTTCTCATTTCAAGCAATAGTTTAAAGTTCATACTTTGTTTAGGAGGTAAGACTATCCAATTTGGAATTGTTCATTTGTGTCATTTCTTTTCTGCAACAAGATGCTATAAAGGAAGATAAGAGTGGGAAAGAGAATCTGATAACTTTTACCTGAATCAAGTCATTTGAGGAAATCTAGTTACATTTTGACATAACTTGCAAGCAAGGGTTTTATTTTAACTGTTAGGTAAGATGGTCGTCGAACTATGCCGTTGATATTCCTGCCCCATAAAGCACCGGTTTAAAGTTCTTTTGGTTACCATATGAAAAATAGCTTTGATGGAGTTACAATATGCTCAATGTGAGATGATGGTCTCAATTAAATTGCAACCAAGAATAACTACATTTTTTCTAGTGCCGAATAACTAGATTGCTGGGTTTCTTGTTTGCCAGCATTTGAGAAATTCAGAAAGACTTGTATTCTCTTGATGGGATATTATCAAATGTTATTAACATGTCTGAAGAGTTTGAGTGGATAGATTCTGAATTAGACCCGGAACTTCAGATTAAGCATGAGTTAATCCTACGAGTATGCTTCAAAAGATGTGGTCTCAAAGAAAGTTGCTTGTACATGGTGATCATCGTGAAGTTTTCATATTTCTGTTGAATAATAGAGATGGAAGGTATGAGGGCAGTTAAATTCTCATAAGATTTAATTACAGAACCTTGAAGATTTTGGTGAAGTTTGTGGTTTAAAGTTCGCAGTTCACTGGTAGATCATGGACTATTGGGTGGTAGAGCTTTCGCTTGCTTCTCAAAATATTATTGGCCAAATGAATATTATTTGCTCTCAAAACTCTCGGGAGAGAAATACCAGAGGATTTTGTATTCCGTACTTGATACAACATTTCTGACTTCACATGAAAATAGTGTATGATTTTTGTTACTTGGAAATTGATTTGAAATGTACAGTTCTGGTGCATTTCAGCGAGATTCAGTTGGCCAATGGCAATAAGGCTTCATTTATCTCCCCCACTTTTACTTTTTTTTTTTTTTTTTTTGTATTCTGGTACCTAACTTCGGAATTTCTAGTAGTTTTAATTTCCCACAATTTTAACATACTATCCTCCCTTATGTAGGTTGGAGACTTTGCTAATTGCTTGATTGAAGCTAGGATTGAACTGCAACACAAGTAAGTTCATAATTATTGTCATGTTTTACGTCCTTTTTGGTTGTTTTGCTTTAAGCGCTGTTTTTGGAAAAACTTGCTGCTTGATTTTGATCTATGTAACAAGTTTGCCGGCGTTTCTTCTTCCTTCCAACTTCCAAGTCTTTAACTACTTTTGTTCCGTTTGTTCTCAGAATATGGAATTGCTTTCTATTACTTTCTTCACTCCTTTAAATGATAATCTGTTCTTTCAATGTTGGCTTTCCTGTTTGATTTCACTGCTATGATTGTACTGCAGGTTTGAGGTCATCAAATGTAAGTTTACAATAACAAAGGCTCTACTATTCAAAGCAGATCGATCATCATTTGATTCAGTAATTTTGATCCCCTCTAATGATGGATAGATTTGAGTGTTTAGATATACAAGCTAGAAATGGAACAGAAGAGATTCTAAGAGGATGCATTTGTCTATAACTGGCTCCAACAGCAACTTAAACTATCACCGGCATATAAGAAGGTACAATTCAGACCTGTATTAAAATAGTTGGTTTATTGTCAATTTATTTTAGTTCTGTTTCAGGTCTTATTTTTTGAGGGAAGGATAGGAGAACTTAATTACGATTAAAACTTGTGTCCTCGTCACTCTTCTTTCAGCAGTTTTTCTTAGTTACTTAGGAACATGATGTCTTTCATGGAAGTTTCTTCTGTCTTTGCCCTTCCATACTTGCAACTTAAAGTGCTATTTATACGTTGAGCGGAAAAGGGGATTATAAGAAGGATCCATAGGAAGGGAAAGTTTTTGTCTAGCTTTGTATCACTTCTGAACATAGACAAGCAAAATGGATCGTTAAAATGTTTTTTTTCCTTCCCAATGTTTATTTGCTCTCTCATTGCAATTAGAACAGACATCATCATGGTTCTAACGACTCTCTGTCTCCCAGATTCTAGAAGTTTGTACTTGCATGGAGTCAAAGGGAAACACTGGTGAGCTGATGGAAGACACAGATACGGCTCGAAGAGCTATTAGCTCAGGAAAAGAAGCATTCATTTTGGTTGGTTTCTCATCTTTTATCTCCTGGTTTCTAAATTTTGTTTACACACCACTTATGATTCACCTTTCTTCTATGAGTGCTCCTTGCAGGCAGAAAAATGGGAAATCAAGATTAGCCTCAAATTGATGACAACATTTGTTTAAGCTAATTCGACCAAGAAACCGCCCCACTTTTCGTAGTACATATCTTCGAATTATGTTTCTTTAGTTTTTGCAGCAAAATCATTGTCATAATTTCAGTTTTCACAGGCTCATCCATGGGAGCTATTCGTACAGAACGACAAAGCTCTCTGATCATTCCACGTCATGTTTTCAGCTGAACTTTGGTCTTCAGCTAGCACAGACAACTCCAACTTTTGAGATCCAAGCATCGGCCTATTTCATCGCTGAAATCTTTATATATTGCATCGATGTTGCCTTCCTTTTAGTTGATCTAAGGAGTTTAGGTTCGAGTAAAGCAAATTATATAGCTCAAAACATCTGCATCCAGATTGAAGCTATGAATTATAGAAGGGCTGGTGTTATTGTAGTTTATACAGAACTTGAAAATATTACTGTTTAATACGAAGAATACCGTTTTGATAAATGAATTCAGATTCAATGGTTTGTAATAACATCAGATTGTTTAGTATTTCCCCGCATGCATCATCTCTTTTTATTACAATCATAATTTAATCCATCAAAATTCTGGAAATATATGTATTTTCAGTTGATATTAGCTTTCTTCATGCTCCAAGCATTCAAATCTTCAATCTTATGGATTGAGTTCCATTGTTGAAAGCATACAAGTGGGCAGCCTTGTTAATTGCCAATGTGGGATAAACTCTAGATGTTATGCAAACTTTCCCACCTCCACCAAAGCTCTCCACTATGGAATGATCAATCTATTCAAAAACAAAACAAAATGGTTAAAAACGGCTTCTTCAAAACCATTAATCTTAAATTTCTAAATCCAGAAACTTTGGGATCTCAAACTTTTTTGTTTCCAGCAATGGATCAGATGGATCTCTTCTCTAAATCTAAAAATGGCAATGTTACTTACCAAGCTTCTCAATGACAACTTTTGCTGTTGAATGTCTACATCCAAGAAAGCACCATATGTTGCCTTGTCAGTATTTTCATTTAAGGAAGACCTGGATGGTCGCTACACATTAGCACCACGTATTTGTTATGTCATTTAAATATTCTGAAGAACACGGCAGTGTGCTCTTTCAGGCCGGCAGATGACAAAACTAGCAACCCGAGTGGACCTAGTCTCCCTTTAACCGACACACCCTTTCAGCGACATATGATATGTGGGTTGGTCCAGCTCGGTTTCAGCACCTCAGCTTTGTCGAAATCTTTTGTCTCGAACGAAACCTCAACATCTGCCTGTACAAGTATGAAGATGAATATGGGAGAACTCATTGTCTGTGTACCTTTTCACCAGCAAAACTAAGTCACCTGTGCTGCAGTGACACCAGAAACTTCAATAACAGATCCTCCCTCAAGCAGTTTGTTTGCCAAGCTAACGTGGTTTGCACGTAGCTTTTGTATTTCGGCTATTGGCCATTGCACCAATTGTTTTCCATTTTCGGCGAGACAAACTTTCCTAGGAATTGCCTGCAAGATTAGATACCATAATGGAGAATTGATTATAGACTTTGTAGTAATTGAAACTTGGTGACTTGCAACTTAAGTTACTTAATAAACAAGCAATAAATAAACAAAAACATACGTGAATTCCTGACCATCCTTTCTTAATATCATCAACCTGCTTTGATGATTCGTTATTCCAATCCATTAAGATTCTTCGTTTCTCGACAGAGTCGAAGAAATTCTTGGAAGCGTAGTACTTTCCATTATCGTATCTCAACCCCAAATCGCCCTCCACAGATCCATCATCTGGTCTATATATGTCCTTGACATTGTTATAGGAGCCAATGGTATACAAGTCAAGCTTGGTATCATCTAAGCTGACCTTAAGCACATGCTTGACAGAAGGGCCATGAAGAGAGGTGTCGACACCGCTTTCGCCTTTAATCGGAACAGGGTAGAAATCAGGGCATTCCCAAATCCCGGTGTTGTTAGCAGAATGCAATGGGGTTTTGGATTGAAACCAGTTCACAAAATCTTTACTTTTTGTAGAGGATGAGTAATCCCTGGCTGTTCAATTGGCTTCCAATGATGACCCTCCATTTCTTATCAGGGCCTAACCATGCAGTTGTTGGATCTCTGAACGAACTTGCATTGATATGATTCTGAGCAGTGGGTTGCATCAGAGGGTTATTGTCTGATTTGACCCATTCCCTAAGGTAAGGGTCGGACAAATTCTTGGGGATGGCTAGATTCTGGACTTCTCTCTGGTGGGGCTCGATTCCGGTGTAGAGAATCACTGGTTTGCCACCGTGGAGGATAGTGGCTGAACCGGACCAGCAACCCTTGATATCAGATGGCTGGGATGGATAGATGTCTGGCTCATGAGGTGTCCAATTTACAAGATCTTTTGATGTAGAATGAGCCCACACAATGTTTCCCCACTCAGCACCTTTTGGATTGTATTGGTAGAACAAATGGAAAACTCCCTTGTAAACCATAACTCCTGGAAATTATATCAGTAATTTCTTTAGAATCATAGGCAAATTCATGAAGAAAAGAACAAGAAACACTAATAAGAAGTACTAACCATTAGGATCTGTCAAATCCCGAAGTCAAACCAGATACAAACAACAATCAAACAGGGAAAAATAGTTAGATATAAAAAAAGGAAGCAACCCCTTATGTGAAAAAACATATGTATGTATGTATGTATGTATGTATGTATGTATGTATGTATGTATGTATGTATGTATGTATGTATGTATGTATGTATGTATGTATGTATGTATGTATGTATGTATGTATGTATGTATGTATGTATGTATTATACCATTGATCCAGTTCTTGGGAGGTTGAAAATGATAGCCAGTTCTATAAGGTTGTTTTGCAGAAGAATAAGATTTAACAGCTTGAATGTAAACATGGTGCAAAGCTTGAAGCTCCACAATTCCATGTCCAACAAAGAGAGCAAAGAACAAAAAGAAGGCAACATTAGAGTTAGTATTGTTTAGCATGGCACAATTGAGATGGATGAGAAGTTGATAACTCTATTTATATGAGAAAAAAAGCATAATTTTGTTTTCATTCATGCATCTTCATACTGATAAGGAAACATATGGTGTTTTCATGGATGTGGACATTCAACAGCAAAAGTTGTAATTCAGAGCCATTGTTGGTAAAAACAAAATTTTGTTTGAGATCCCAAAGTTTCTGTATTTAGAAATTTAAGATTGATGATTGAAAAGAAGCCATTTTTAACCATTTTGTTTTGCTTTTGAACAGATAGATCATCCCAATATGGTGAGTTCTGGTGGGGTTGGCAATTCAAACCATTAAGTTTCCAGACCTTGATAAGAACAGAAGTGTGCAGCGTATCAGTCGATTGAATAAACCGATCAGTCGAAACCAAAAATAAAATATTCATTTGGTTATTTGATTCGATCAATTTCTTCAATAAGCATCATGCTTTGTCATAACTCTCACTATATTTTACTTCATCTTCTCTTATTTCTCTTCGTCTCTTTTCAATCTCTTTTAGTTTTTAATTTTACCTATTTAAATTTTTATGTTATTTTGTTCAACAAATACTCTTATTTCCTAATGAAAATGGTAGATGCTTTTTTTATACTATTTTCCCATATTTTTTTCAAGATTTAATTTGAGGTTGCCTCACCATTTACTGTTTATTCGGTTGTTGATCCCTATAATTTAGATTCTTATATTAACTATCTCATATTGATTGGTGCTTTCAATAAACCCACATAGATGATGCTTGAATTACGATAGATTAATTGTTATTATGTTGTCATGATCATTATTATTTTTTATGTTGGTATACATAATGTTTATATTTCACTGAAAATAATAATATTTTTCTGTATGACTTTTTTCTAAGTTTTTTAATTAGGTCTTTTAAACATTTTCTTCTATACTTATATTAAGTGGTTATTTTATATTCTAGTTTTTAAAAATTTATTAGTTAATATGATTAATTTAAATTTTTTATATATTCTTTTAAGATTATAATTTTGTTGCGTTTCTTCTTTCTTTATTCAATAAAATTAATTGTTGAAATGGATAATCGGTGATAATAAGAGTAACCCCTCAGACCAATACGGGTAGTCTGATCCGATCTGGGGTGTCACATTAGGGCCACCGGAGTGACTCACCGTAAAAATCTCAGAAAAATTAAAATATTTGTTAAAACAATTAAAATCATAAATCAATTTATAAATAAAAAAGTAAAATTTACCAATATTCAGAAATAAAACATATTTCAGACTCAGATAAAAAAACAAAATTCAACCTACATGCCCCCTAATCACATGCACCGTACTTCGCAAGCAACGCCGGTGGAACTCCCATACCGATGACGATAGTTGCATTGGTTCAATCCTTTTAACCTGAAAAGGTGAGTAACAAAGTGAGCTTTGGGAAGCTCAGTAATAAAGAACTACCAGATGATGTTGAAGAACATGCATGTAAATGGAAAACAATAAAATTTCCTTGTGATTCAGACGTATACTGGTTTTCAGGATGAGCTGGGGTTCCACTAGTAGTTCATCGAGTGAAAGTCATAAGAATCTTAGTTCATAGGAAACATTCAGAGAACCATGTTTTCAAGAGATTGGAATAAGATGTCTAGTGTGTTCCAACAAAAACCAATGAAAAGATATAAATCTTTTTAAAACATTAACCATTTAAAATATATTTTCAAAATCATAGTGGAACCCTCCAACCGAACACCGTTATGCAGTTCCCCAAAACTGCATCTATAAGGGCTTACCCTAAGCACACAGTAAAGGGAGCCAACCTAAGGAAATGCCTTAGGGCCTACCCAAGGGTCACCTTAGGTCCGTAAGGATTTACTAGCTGGATCAGGGTTAAACCTCCATACTCCATAATTCTACCCATAAAAAATCCAGTAGAAATCAATTTTAACAATGAATCGTAATATCTGGGTCGTGATCCTATAAAATCTCATAAACGTGACAATGAAATAAACCATATAATTTCCCTCCACTTGTGCACCATATATAGTCCTATGATTAACCCAATGGAGTGCCTTGGGGCCTGAGAGCCTACCCAAGGATCACCTTAGGTCCGTAAGGATTTACCAGATTGATTAGAGTTGAACCTTCAGCCTACCCATATAATGTCCCAATAAAATAGTTCAAGTATAACCAGTGAAACAAAAATCATAGTTCATAAACAGTAAATTTCATGATTCCCAATAGTCAAGAACGATCATATTTTTCAGTGAAAACCGAAATAAGAAAACACATACCATGTAGTCATAGTTCATAAGTCAGTAAATCAATAATTACGGTGAAACATATTTCAAAACATATAAGACAATCATGTAGTACATGGGGAACACACTAGAGGATCCAAGTATTTTTCAAAGGTACTCGGTAGTTATCAGGAATAGAAAACATGAAACTTATTTAATTTGATCGGATTCTAGGATCGAGGTCCTATTGAAAGGGATCGATTACTAAT